ATTGAAGAAGACCAAGAACAAGGAGAAGCCAGTGGCAAGAGGAGGAGGAGAAGGAGGAGAATACAGGGATGACAGGGCTGGCTGGGGTGGCTGGGGTGGCAGGGCTGGCAGTGTGTTCGACTGGCCTGGCGGCTCAGAGGTAAAGGGCTTGCCTGCCACTGCTTGAGCTACAGCAAACAGAGGCACATGCAAAGGCGCACTTAAAACTGCAGACGCCACATAATTGTCGCCCCCTGCAGCAGCAGCAGTGGCAGTGGCAACAGCAGCAGCAGTGGCAGTGGCAACAGCAGCTGCATTGGCAGCATGTGCATCTGCTCTGACAACTGTCACTGGCGTTTGACACGGTTTTGCTGCACCTCTCTCCACACCCGCTCCCTCGCCATATGCCAGTGTGTGACTGGGGCGCATCGCGAGTTAAGCAAACTGCAACCAAAAACTAAACACTCGGGGCAACCTTTACGACCCCACTGCGGTGTAGCAGCAGCACAGCAGCAGCAGCGGCAGTCCCCTCCATAGCTAATGACTCATTAAATAACGCGCCACAGGGGCAGCTGCGGATGGATGGGGTGCAGAGACATCGGTGGCACAGTGACGGTGGCATGAGGCTCTGAGTGTGTGCATATTCATGAGCTTCGTGTTAAGCTGCCATTTTGACGTTGACTGTTGGGGCCATGTAGCCATGTTTGCATAGCCGAAAAAGGCCGAACGCCGAACGCAGAACGCAGAACACCGAAAGACGAGTGCATATGAATATGAATATGAATCAAGCCATCAATCAGGCCAGGCATCCAGTCATCTAGTCATCCATCCGTCGCGGAGTCGGGGAGGAGTCAGTCTCAGACAGCCAGTCGGTGTCGCCCGCCTGCCACTTGACATGCATCGAGCAGGCGGGCGGCCAGCAGGCTAATAACCAAATGAATATGATCACGAATGATTGCAGCAGCAGGCAGGCAGACAGGCAGGCAGGCAGGATGCGAGTTCATCAGCTAAAAGACAGGCGACACTCACAGAAGAAGAATATCTTGTGACTGATATCGAATGAATATTCCAGTGTATCCATGGGCTTGAATGAATGCCCCAAAACTATTCTTTAACAAATTGACAAACTTGTCTGCCCAATATCCGATACATGCACATGGCTGCCACCCTTCCACCCTTCTACTGCCGCTTCTGCCCCCTCCTTTTAAGCTGACAATTACCCATTACATGTGATGAGATCTTCATCGGGAGGGGGTGGGGGGGAGGAGGATATGCCACAGCCAGTGGCATTTCCCGTTGAACGGAAATCGATTAGTCATAGGACATAAAACGAATCAAACGAATGGTTGGGTTTATCGCTGATAGTTCTGAGCATTTGGTGCCTTAATTAAAGCCCCCAATAGTGGTGTGGGGTCATGGGGCTATGGTAATAACACTTTTGCATGGCAGCCAGCAGCCAAAAAGCAAAAAGCGTTTTTGTTTTGCGCGACCTTCACTGCGCTGCTGTACCCTGAGGCCCCTGAGGACTTTCAGGACTTGCTTTAAACTAGACAAAGCTACAGGACTCAGCTACAGCTGAGTGTACACTCCCGCCTTGGAGTGGCGGGCGTGGCTGCTGCTGTGTTGTGTTGTGCACTTTGCATGAAGCATAAAGCGAGTTAATGATTCGATGGCTGCGATGATGAGACGCTAACGAGCAATAATCAAATCAAAGATACTTTCTATTATCAATCTGCTTTGCCGCGAAAATTGCTCTTAAACGACAAGAGGCAGCCAAACCCCCGCCCCACCCTTACCGCCAGCTGCCTGCCACAAACTGAATTTTCTGACAATTTTTTTTGTGTGTTGGCTTTTGCCCGCTTGTTTGGTTTGTGGCACACTTGATGCCACCGCAAAGTGAAAATTTAGCTTAACCCCAACCCCCCCAACACACACACATTACAGGGGTGGGGGGCGAAGCAGCTGCTGTCAGACGGGGACTCTCCATCCCAGCACCCGTTCCTGTGCCACCTTTTAACTTGTTTGTTTGCGGCTTTTGGCTTGTTGGGCGCTCTTTTGCGTTTTCCATGTGCCCGCATATCAATTATCGACTCGAATTTACGCTCTGTCTTCGTCTCTGCTCTGCTCTGCTCCTGGCGCTCTTTTTTTGCGCGCTGCAATTTTCCTAAGGACTGCAAGGACGGGGTGGGGGACTACTCCAGACTACTCCGGCTACAGCTCTTGGCCACGGCTCCTGGCTACGGCTGCTGGCTGTAAGTTCAAGTGCAAGAGGATGCAGAGGAGGAGGATGGTTTGGAAACAACAAAAAAATTGGTCAGACGGAGGCCATGCAATGCCATGCTGATCCCATTTCAAGGGGAAAAAAAGAAGGAAAAATAGAGGAAATTCCATTTGACACCCAGCGAAGAAAGACTAAAAAGAAGGTGCCACAATCCAGAGAGCGGAAGAACTGAAGAGCGAGAGCGAAACAGTGGCATGCAGCAAAGAAGAAAATTTAAGAATTTGCCTAGAAGAAATGCCTGAAATGCAGAGTTTATAGCAGAAGAAACAGCCAGTAGCCAGCATAAAGTGGCCAATCGGAAGACATAGTAAGGCATTCAAAGTGATGGCACAAATCATATGGGTTATTCCTGAATAGTTGCAGACTTGAGAGGATTTTTTAAATCATTATTCAAGCGTTGATTGCCCAGAGCTTTGCTGTTTTAGATTATTTCACACGTCTTCTAATTGAATTATTTCAAGCAGCATTTAAACTGCTTCCCCACACACAAGAAATGCAAACACACATCTATGTACTTATATACGCATATGTATATTTATGTATAAAGAATTTGCTGAAGCATCAGGTGTGGTTCGGGTCGAATGGGGGGCTGCATGCCACACCACCCACTACCCACTACCCACTGTGGCATCCAATTTTCAATCAAAGTGAAACTAAAGAGAAGACGAGAAAAAAACTGTTGCCCCGTTTCTGCTGTGTCTTGGGCTTGCCGATTATAATTTGTTGTTTGGCCAGGGATTCGGCATCAAACGGATTAGGATCACACGTCTGGACACATAATTGGAGCCCCGTCTCCTGCCATCTGCCACCTGCCACACCGTTGAACCGTTTGGCAATTTAAATCCTTTTTGGTGCAGACAGGACTCGAGGAGGGACGGACTTGCCACCGCTTTTGGCCTTGAATCTTTAATGTCAATAAGCCGGAACACACAAAAAATAACAGAAATATTATTGCCCTTTCGTTGGCCTCTCTGTTGTTCGTTCGTTCGTTCGTTTTGTTTGCAAATTGACTTGAGGCGCCTCCAGCTCTGACTCCCGCCTGCAACTTCTCTTTCCTCTTCGTACCTTATGTCTGTCTGTCTGTCTGTCTGTCTGTCTGTCTATCCCGCCTGCCTGCCCGCCTGCCTGCCTGCCTGTCCGCTTGTCTGTCCGCAATGAAATTGTCAAATTGTAGCCACGGAATTTCTTCGCCTTCGTGTTGAAAATTGCTGAAAGAAAGAAAAACTTTGGCGATTTGTGTGGAAGCCCCAAAACTTTGCAGCACTGCAGCACACAGTCGTTTCAGTGGCAGCCACAGTTGCACGGTTACGGGTTACGGGTTACAGTTACAGTTGCCACCCAATATAAAAGCCTGCCCGTGGTCGCTATACGCTATACGGTCTACGGTCTACGGTCTACGGCCTTTTGCTGATGACAAATTGTTGATTTAGAGCAGGACAATGGCCCCAGCCACAGTCACAGCCCCCGGCGAAGTCACCGCCCAACGCCCATCAAACCAAACTCATTTACACGAAAGCCAGAGACAATGTCGGAGGCCCCATAGACGTACAATTATTTGTGGAAGATATGCTGCACATTGTTTATTATCTTCTGCGACTCGATTATATATTATACGTGCTCGCATCTTTTAGATATTTTTAAGCAATCAACTAATAATTAATGACAAGCAAACAGATTACTTTGACAGGCAAAATGTAATGGAAACAAGTTCCCTGTATCAGCTTTGTCCTCTCTTAAAATACTCCTTCAATACTCCTTGTGTGGCTTTTGGGGCTGGCTGTCGCAGCCTCTTCTGGTCCGCAGAGTGCGGGTTCTGTTTCCTGATTTTTATTTGTATTTATTGTACGTGTATAATCCCTGCTAATTGTTTGCTGTTGAATGAGCTGTTGGCTTTTGGCTTTTGGCTTTAAGCTGTGCTCTGATTACCGCCACCTTCTGCCCCTCCTCCTCCTGCTCCTGCCATCTCTAATGTTCGCTTAACTTTTCTTTGCTTTTAATTAGCCCTCTGCTCGCGGCTCTCGCTTCTACGTTCCATGCTCTGTGTCATCCATTTGGCCCCCTGCCCACACTCCTTTGCGCGCTCCTTCGCATTCTCTGTAATCAAATCCGCGCTGCGTCACAAAGTATTTTTCTCGCATACTTTCGAAGCGCGCGAAAAGGGCGACAAAAATTATCTAAAAATATTTGTAAAATTGCTTAAATTGTTGTTTATTTTTTATATTTTTTTTTGTTGTATCCTGTTGCTGTTGCTATATGAAATATTATGCGTTTGGCTGGAGTGGAAGGGGTGGGGAGAGCTGGCAGCAGCAGCAGAAAGGGTTCAAAAGGGTACAAAAAAAAAGGGCTGACTGGAAACATGCACAGGAAACTGTGGCTAACGATGCTGCTGCTGCTGCTGCTGCTGCTGTTGCTGTTGTTGCTGCTGCTGGGGCATGCCCCACACACCATACCATACCAATTCATGGAGGAGGTTGTGTCTATCAGACAACACCGAAAAAACACCTAACAAACTTTTGCTTTCAAGTTGAATGAAGTGTCAGCCGAGAGTCTGGTTTTGGATTCTGGATTTTGGGTTTTGGGTTTTTGGGTTTTGCAGGACTTTTTTGGTGACTGGAAGGAAGTGCTTGTTAAACTGCATCCGGCTGTCATCTAATTGCAGACACACACACACACAAACTCCTGTACTATATTCCGTATATATATTTATTTATGGGCTCGTTTTTCCATCTTCTGATTGCAGAATGCCAGCCGAATGAGTACCGTTGCCGCAGTGGACATTGCATTGATGCGGGCAAGCGCTGCGACTATCGCGAGGACTGTCCCGATGGCGATGATGAGAACGAAGAGTGCCGTAAGTGCCAACTGCTGTGTGGGGTCACCCACAAGTGTAGCTACTATTTATAACTGTATACTGTATCCTGTATCTAGTGCTAATAACCCATCGAAAATCGATCGAAACCCTAGGCTAAGACACACCTTTTTTTAGCTGTAAGCCAGGGGGAAACACTCGCTGAATACTAACCAAAAAAAACATCTCACTAACCTATGTATACCTCTCTCTCTCTCTCTCTCTCTCTCTCTCTGTCACTCTGTGTGTTTTTGCTTGCCCCCAAAACCCCCAACAATAACTGCAACAACCATATCGATATACTAACAACCTGCCACACCAAAACAAACCAACAACAACTAACCCATAGCCGCCGCCTGCAGTGGCATGGAGTACCAGTGCCGCGACGGCACGCGCTGCATCAGCGTCAGCCAACAGTGTGACGGCCATGCCGATTGCAGCGACGGCGACGACGAAGAGCACTGCGACGGAAGTGAGTAGCCAGCGATCAGTGAATCATTCATCCACTCATACCCAATCAACCATCATCAACTCTGTTGTCATTCATCTTTGATTCCACTCCGATTGTTTGTGTCTCCATGCTGCCCCGCCCCCCGAGTAGTTGTGCCCAAGCTGCGGTATACCTGCCCCAAGGGCAAGTTCACCTGCCGGGATCTGAGCTGCATTTCGATTGTTCATCGATGCGACGGTCGCGCCGATTGTCCGCACGATCGTTCCGATGAGGAAGGCTGTCGTAGGTGTTCCCCCCCCACCAAATTTCAGACGCTTTTCCCTTCAATAGTCCACCCACCTTCTCTCTCTCTCTGTCTCTCTGCCCACGCTCACTCTTTTTGGACGCAGCCTGTCTGTACGACAAGTGGCAGTGCGATGACGGCACCTGCATTGCCAAGGAGCTGCTCTGCAATGGCAACATCGATTGTCCCGAGGACATATCCGATGAGCGCTACTGCGAGGGTGAGTATACGTAGAACAAAACGAAACAAAAAACCAAAAATGTGTTGCTCAATGGCTTTCGCTTGGAAGGAAGAGAGGTAAGTGCCCTTCCTTCTCTCTCACCCTATGACCCTTGCTGTCCCTGTCACGCATTCAATCACACACACTTCACACACATCACACTAGCCCAAAAAAAATGCAAGAAAGAAAACGAGAACACGAGTGCTATTCCGATCGTCATGCAGGTGGCTTTGGTGTCGTTGACGATGAGCAGTGTCGGTTCGATGAGTTCCGATGCGGCACTGGTGAGTGCATACCGATGCGTCAGGTGTGCGATAACATATACGATTGCAACGATTACACAGACGAGATCAGCTGTGGTAAGTCCGGAGAAAGTACCGAGTACTCTCTCTCCTCTCTCTCTCTCTTTGTTTGTTTCTGTGTTTCTACGTCTCTGTGTGTGTATATCTATCTATCGATAAGCGATAAGCGATAATCGATAAGCGATAATTGTGTATTTATCGAGTTTTCTCTCTCTGTCTCTGTTTTGCTTTTGCTACCCCTTTTGCTGCTCCTCTTTTTTGGTAAACTAAAATCCTTGGTGCTGGTAAATCGTATCGCTGTTCTTCTGTTGTCTTTTGTGTGCTCTCTTCTCGACTCTCTTTACTCTTTACCCTTCTACGTTTCGCTTCGCAACGATTGCCAATCGTTATCGGAAACTATCGCTTGCTTTACGTGCTGTACGCGATAAGTGTTAAGTGTGGCCGAAAACGAGAGATATCTCTCTCTCTCTCCGTGTCTCTCTTTGATTTTTTCAATTTTAACACCAAACATTTTATTTCTCTTCCCCCCGCCCCAACCCCCTCTCGGTTATGGTTATCGAATGTAAAAAACAAAAAATCCAACAAATCCAACAAATCCAAATTAATCGATTAATCGCACGTCAACCCTGTATTGGAACAACTGCGAATGCAACTGCAACTGCAACAACAAACAACGTCATCATTGGCTCGAAACAACAACAAAAACAATACAACAAATACAAACAAAATTCTTGCATGAATCCCCCACCGCCCCCATGAAAAACCCAATGAAAAACCCAACGGTCTGCATGCGGTTATCGGTTATCGGTTATCCTCCCCCCTCCCCTTACGCCACATAACCAACATAACGAAATCAATCAATGCGGCCCGGCCCATGCATGCGGCTAACCCTGAAATCTGTGGACAGACCTCTCCCGCGAAGAGGAAGACGCGGGGATTGGCATACCCTTAGAGCGCCCTCGACCGGCGCCCAAGCTGGGCCGCGACAACAACGAGGAGCTGGGCACTGAGTACCTGCCGGTGGGCAGGTACGACAAGGCTGATACCCAGAACAAGTGCGCCTCCAATCAATTCCACTGCGTCACCACGGACATCTGCATACCGCTGCACCTGCGCTGCGATGGCTTCTACCACTGCAACGACCTGAGCGACGAGGCGGACTGTGAGCGGTACCAGGCGCCGCCGAAGACGCGCAGGCCGCCAATTGTCAGCGTCACCACCGCATCGCCGTGGATCGTCTCACCCGGTGCGCTGGAGCGGAGCACCACTGACGGAGCAAGAGAAGGAGCAGGCGGAGGAGTAACGACACGACCACCGCCACAAACTGCCACTGCCACAACCACTAACCCAATAACAACGACCTACCCAGCAACAACAGCAACAATGATAGCGAGTAGGTGTCTTCCCACAGATGTAGTTTCTGTGGATGTAGCATGTAGCATACATTCTGGGGCCATTGGTGACGGGTAGCGCGTAACGGGTTAGCGGGAGTAAACAGCGGGTAACCGCCGAAGTGCATGCCATGTTTGAAACATTGAAACCTACTTTAGCTTTTAATTTATATATATGTATATATTTTTTATAATTGATATGCCTCATACATCGTGCTCTCTCCTTCTCCACTGCCACAAACACTCTCTGGCTATCTCTATTTCAACCACATTATCTCTCTTTCTCTCTCTCTCTCGGTCACGTTCGGGCTTGTTAAATTATTATTGCCATGATTATATGCCCTGTTGTGTCACCCATCCATCAACACCAACCAAACCAAACCACAAACACAAACACAAACAAATACATTTAGCCTACTCATCATCATCATCATCATCGCCATCATCAGGGCCAAGCATTTGCCTCGAAAACATCGAATTCGCGTGCCACAATCGTGATTGCATACCGATTGAGAGCGTCTGCGACGGCATCGCTGACTGTGGCCATCACGAAGACGAGGACTATGCTCTGTGCAACTGCAGCAGCGACAAGGTGAGCCACCAGTCACCACCATACAAATCATTCATACAAATCATACACCCCATCCCCAAACTTACAGTGCGTTGTTTAGTCTTCGAATATCGATTGCAAGCGATAGCTGGCTGCTCTCGATTACTGTACGATAATTTAATTACACAACTCAATCGATTAGCGATAACGCAAAGCTTCCAGTCACTTTCATTCTGATCAGTGGTTGAGTAAACCGAACAGTTTACGTTAATTTAACTTATTCCAATCGATGACTGATTAAAATCGATAAATGGCTGTGGTCGATAAATTTCATCAATAAACTAAAATTTCGAGTTTTGTAAAAGCGATAACTAATGAAAATCGATGGCAGCCTTCAATCGATAACTAATACCAAACAAAGATTGACTTTAATCGATCAATTACTGCAATCGATGGCTGAATTCAAGTTTATACCAGTACTGACACGCACTGTACCTGCCACCCCCACACACACACACACACATACATCATCACACACACACACACATACTCATGCATTTTGTCCATGCAACACAGTACAAGTGTCAACGCGGCGGCGGTTGCATACCCAAGACGCAGGTCTGCGATGGCAAATCTCAGTGTCGCGATGGCAGCGATGAGAGTGCATGCCGTAAGTACTACTCTCTCTCTCTCTCTCTCATCTCTCTCTCCCCCCCTCTCTCTCTCTCTCCCACACTCTGTCTTCTTCGCACCTCTCTCTCTATGCCTTCCACCATTTCGCCACTTCACACAACAACATGACATGCAATGCTCTTTCCGCATATAGTCTAATAATTTCAGTCAAAAGTTAAATTGTGAGAGACCCAATGCTAATACCCGATTCTTGTCGATTGAATTTCAATATATAATCTAGACGTTTAAGTAGCCTTCTTAGCTAATTGGTTGATTTTGCTAACACGCTAGATGATGCACTCACCCCCTATCTATCCTAGTCCTAGCCCCCAATCTATACTCCTAGTCCTATTCCTTTCAAAACCTTTAACAAAGTATGGAACTTTGTTTTGCTAACTTTACTTTCTGTTTTTATCTCTCTTTCCACACATGATTTTTACTCTCGTTTTACGCTCTCCTGTACGCGCTGTACACGCTCTCTCCCACTGTCCTGTGTGTAAATGTCTATCCTGTACTCTGCTCTGATTATCCTGATACTCCCTCCTGCTGCTACTCTGCCACACTCTGCCGACTCGATCTTGATACATGATATCCGATCTGATATCTACTGCAACAAACACACACCATCACATCACCACAATCATCACAAAACAAAACCAAACAAAACCAAATCCCCCTACGAATCACACAACACACAGACTTCCAGGACAAGTTCAATAAGACCCGGCTGGGCGTCGAGTGCCTGAGCTTTCAGTATCAGTGCGGCGATGGTAGCTGCATATCGGGGTATAAGCGCTGCAACGGCATCACCGACTGTGCCGATGGGACCGACGAGTACAACTGTCTGTTTAATTACGAGGATGTTGACTACGGTAGACCCCCAACCACAAAATACCCAAGCTTAAAGTCCAAGACGTGCCCAATAACAATATCAAACTTTGAGCTTATGTGACCCCCCCCCCCCCCTTTGCATAACATTTCTCTCTCTCTCTCTCTTTTATATCTCTTTTATCTTTTATCAAAACTCGAAAAAACAAAAACCAAAACAAACAAAACACACACGAAAACTGCTCGCACAACATACACACGAAAACAGACACAGACCCGGACAACAATCCATTGAATGAATGTGATATCCTTGAGTTTGAATGTGACTTGGGTCAGTGTCTGCCGTTAGAGAAGAAGTGCGATGGCTATACGGACTGTGGCGACGAGACGGATGAGCTCGATTGCCCGGCCTTTACAGGTAAAAGCAAAAATAACGAGAACGAGAGAGTCTCACTCTCTCTCTCTCTCTTAAGTTTGGTGGTACAGGAGAGAAAACTAAAACTAAACAGCTAACACACAGCTAACATCTACATACATATCATATCCAGTCATATACCAGAAACCATATACCATATATCATCATTCACAGAGCATTGTCTAGAGAACGAGTTTGAGTGTGACGAGTATTGCATGCCGCGCGATCAGCTGTGCAACGGCATTGCCAACTGCAACGATGGCAGCGATGAGCGCAACTGTACTTTTTGCCGCGACGATGCATATCTGTAAGATTGTCCCAACATAACCCATCCCCCATGCCACATGCCCCATACCTATCCCCCCATTCCCATTCCCTGCCACAGCCCATGTACCCGACCAGCGACGATGGATAACATTTACTATTTCTTTACTCTTCCATGTAATGGGTAACACAAAAACAAACTCAAATACACGCACAAAACACCAAAATACCCCACCACCAACACCACCAACCACACTCATCATCGAATCCACATCAAAACATCATTCATCCGATAAACGATATTTATCGATAATCTGGCATCGATCAGCTGCAACACTGGCGAGTGCATTGCCGATAGTCAGCGGTGCAATGGCCAAGCGGACTGCTCCGATGCCAGCGATGAGCGCCACTGCGGTAAGACATGAAACATGAACCACACATCCACACATAGCTCCTCCCTCATCACATCCGGGCAGCACTTTCCACTGTACTTCCAAATTAATTGTACCATTTACCAAGTAGATACACGTAGATTCTGTTGGGGTTTCCAGTAGGGGTTTGCCTTTGCCACTGATTTAATCGCGTGATCGTAATGTTGATATTTTTATTGCTGTGATTTCAAGCGAGGCGGTTCGTCTGTCCACCGATTCTATTGGCCTGCAATGGTACATGCGTCCATCGGAGGATCCGCTGTGATGGCAAGCTGGATTGTATCGATGGCTTTGACGAGCGAAATTGTCCGACGGGTAACGAAATTCAAACAAGTTCAAACAATATTCCAAGTCTGTCACTTCACTTCTCACACTCTCTCTCTCTGTCTGCCGTCACTCGTTTCTTATTTCTCGCTTCTCTTTGAACTTTTCCAACACTTTTCCAGCTTCGATCAAAGAATCAGAGCAGATTATTTACCATATCTACAATGAACTTGAAATCTTGTGGCCCTTATCAAATCAGTTTTCTTTGCCTCAGACTTTTGCTACATAACTGAGAATATTTACTCTAGAGTACGTTTCGTTCATCGTTTGATATTTTTATCGTTCCATTATTGCGTTATCCAACACCATCAACCCACCATGATCAACACACAATTCACCAACACTCACCACCAACCACCAACTCTAAACAAAGATGTGAGAGGCGCTGCGGGCGTGCCCATATTAAAGTCCTGCCACCCAGTGTACCAATGGCAGTGTGCCAGCTCCGAGTGCATTGATCGCAAGCAGTTCTGCGACAATCGGAAGGATTGTCGGGATGGGTCGGACGAGTTTCCCGTCAATTGTATAGGAAATGGTAACCAAAGTCCAGTCTACCACACACACACACAGTCCCCCCGAACCCTTCATTATGCCATAGTTTGTATATATATATATATTATCGTATAGCCTATAAGATCTGCCCCACACTGGATCAGGTTTGTATATAATACACATGCATACATAATGTGACGATAGGAAAATAAATATTAAGTATTACGTATAACCCGTATAACCGTATAATCGAAGAAACATTCAGCTCATTCTGCTTTCTTGTCTCTCTCCCTTTACTCTTAAATAATGTTCAACCAACACACAAAATATGCAACACAAAATAAATATATCAACATACACCATACAACATACAACATTCCATGCATGGCCTGCATCTGCCTCTGCATCTGCATCTGCCTTGCGCTTCATAGCCACCACACGACTAACCGCCGCCGATTGCAGTTCGGATCAGTTCTTCTGCGACGATTCGTGCCTCAATCACTCCATACGCTGCAACGGTGTGTCCGACTGCAGCGATGGCAGGGACGAGCATGGCTGCCACCATACCATACAACCACCATCCAGCCACTACCCGACCCACCGGCCCTGTCCGATCCACCAATGCCCCATCAGCGGCAGGTGCTACTCGGAGAGTGAGCGCTGCGATCGTCGCCGTCATTGCGAGGATGGTTCCGACGAAGCCAATTGTAAGTTATCCTCACTCTTCATCTGTCTGTCTGTCAGCCAACATAACATAACATAACATCACCAATATGTGGGGATGATCTTGGTTTAGAGTTTAAGCAGGGATCGATCACTGATCTGATCGATGAATGGATATAAAGCTGCATGTCCATCACAAATCTAACTTGTTGTCATACGATTACTGATCAACCAAATGGGCAGATGGATTCCAGAGCATGCTTTCATTGAAGATCCAATTAAAGACTCTCAATTAAGCTCTCAATAAGATAACCAAAAATATTATTAAGCAATATTAAGCAACAAGGGAACTCGCGCAGATCTCTCTGTATAAATTATTATTTTGATTTGAGCACAGTATTTGTATCTCTGTGTATGTATCTCTGTATCTGTAAGCACATGTCTGGCTTCTGGCACCAAGAGGCATCTTGATATCCACTGATGTACATTCGTATTTATCATTTGCTAATCTCTGCTGTGTGTTTTTCTTTCTCTTTTCCGTCTCTCTACATTTTTACTCTCCTCACTTTCACTTTCACTTTGACTCTTCTTCTCTCTCACCTTCTTCCATATACTCGAATTATTATGCTTTGATTTTTGTTCACTGTCATTGTTTGTGTGTGTCATTCTATTTTTATTTCGCTGCACCATAAAACCAATCAACCCACCACACACACTCAATAAACCACACACACACACAGGTACTGAATGCAAGGATCATGAATTCTTGTGTTTCGATCGACAATTCTGCATAAACGCGACACAGCACTGCGATGGCTACTACGACTGCAAAGACTTTTCCGATGAACAGAATTGCATTGGTTAATAAACAGCTTCCTATTTGTTTTAGCCCTCCCCACAAATAGTAGTTTATGTATTCCACCCCACCCAGTTGTAGTTTTAAGTATTTTATATCTTATGTCTTATGATTTCCCCTTTTAAGTTTCGCTTTTAAGATGGACCCCGCTTTGGCATGCTTCCAAACATGTGTATGCACTTTCTTTTGTCTTTTTTTTTTGTTTTTTTTTTTTCGGTTACTCCTCCAGATGTTGCAGCAGTTAACCCTCCTCCAGCCTGAACTTCAACCCATCAACTAATTGTCTTGTTTATTTTTTTACCCCCGTGCCAATCGTGCCAAAACAGGCTGTGCCTCCAATCAATTCCGTTGCCACAACGGCGACTGTGTCCCCTATTCGTCCACCTGCGATGGCATACCACAGTGCCGCGATGGCTCCGATGAGCTGGAGTGCGGCGGCTCGCTCGAGTGCCTGCCGAACCAATTCCGTTGCAACAATGGCCAGTGCGTGAGCGCCACGGTGCGTTGCAATGGCAAGACCGACTGCCAGGACAGCTCCGATGAGCAGAATTGCGGTAAGTATCGCAATCATCCATCTCCATCCAATCACACACACACACACACACACATATCGAACACATCCAATCAACGTCATGTGCCTACTACGCTCCGCCTATTGCCCCATGATAAGCTCGCCATCCAGAGGCCGATGCAACAGCTGCCACAAGTGGCACAAGCACCACCACCACCACTAGCAGCAGCACCACCACAACAGCCAGTCCAGGTCCAGGTCCTGGTCCAGGTCCTGGTCCAGTGATCGCAAGCAGTGGTCCCCCACTGCGTATCATCTGTCCGGCGACATCTTTTCGGTGCGAGAATGGGCCGTGCATTGCCCTGGGACTGCGCTGCAATGGGCTGGTCGACTGTCCGTACGACAGCAGCGATGAGGCGGACTGTGGTCTGATCAGCAATGAGATCGAGCGTAAGTCGCCAGCGACCCGAAAACAAAAGAAAAACAACCAAAAAGAAGGACATCAAACTGTCGTCTCACACCCTCCAAAAAGTAGATACTAACTGAGCAAAATTAAAAGAAAAAGCAACAGCAAAAGCTTTGGGCTATGGCTATCGCAATATACATACCTACATAACATAATCCATACTTTTGAATCTTTCCATCTTATCTATCGTATCATCTCTGTGATCCTCGCTAACATCAACTAAAACAACTTCTGTGCCAATTCGGTCGACTCAATGAACTAATTGACGGATTTAATTTGTATTTTGGCAGCCAACGAGCCGGGACGCACCACCAATCAATTGAATCTCAAGACATATCCCGACAGCCAGATCATCAAGGAGCGTAAGTATCTAACACCGATCTAACACCGATCGAACCACTCTTTGCCGTTCGCCACTATATATGTGTATATGTTCGTTCTATACGTTTCTTCGATTCTACATAATGTTGTACCATTACTACTTACTTTTAAAATGCTTAACCCACAACCAAATACCAATGACCATAACCCATAATATGTTAAACAAACAAAATACAACCCGCAGGATATATTAGGGAGGGTAAGTCGGCCTAACTACTACTCGTACTCCCACACTCCTACTATATGCATCTATGCATACATGCAATACAATATACATACATACATATATATCATACATATATCATATCTCGCAAATAACTGTCAACATTTTTCTGCATTGCGGTCTCTGGTCTCTGAAAAAATAACAGAAGCACACAACGGACACTCGCTCCCGCTGCCACTCTGAGCAGAACACTTTTGCTCTCTTCGCTTGTGCTTGAGCCGAGACACGCTCGTCTCTCACAATAGCAACCTAAAGAGAGAGGCACATTTGATCAAGCGCGCGCTCGCAGAAAAAGTGTCTGCAGTGTCTAAAACAAAACAAGTGTCTGCGAAAAGTAATTTTAGTTTTGTTCGTTCCTATTATTGTGTAGGAACATTTGAATACAAGTAAACTTTCTATTAAACAGAGTTAAGCTTAGCCACAAACAAGGAATTCGCATTCTCCGCAGTTGGAGAGCAAAAGACACATTTTTGCGTTCGCTCGTGGCGTCGTTGCGCAGTAACGAAACTTCGCTCTTTGCTTGAGTGAAGAGCGAAATGAGCAACGACATGTCCTATCATGACTCTTCTGTCTACATTCGCACAATGTGTCCGTAAATGAGACGAAAGTGTTGACAGTTTTTATGATATTATTATGATATTCGTATGATATATTATATATGCATATGCATATGTGTGTGTATTTATGTATTACACACGGTAAAAACCAACACCAACACGAGCACCACCCGAACCAGCACGAACCATTGGCTCGACAAATGGAGTTGTAAATTGAGAGTCGAAATTGAACCACTGAACTGCTATCCATCCCAGCCTGTTGAACCCCCCCGAACCCCTTGAAACCTTGCACGTCCCCTGAGCTCTGTCCGCTGTTGGCTTATTTCTAACACTCGTGTTCTCTCTGCTGTGTAGGCCGCGAGGTGATCTTCCGTTGCCGTGACGAGGGACCATTCCGCGCCAAGGTACGTTGGACACGGCCCGGCGGCCAGCCACTGCCACCAGGCTTCACCGATCGCAGCGGACGCTTGGAGATACCCAATATACGCGTAAGTCTTTAGCCCTTGAGAACCCAAGAAGCTTTCGAGCCTCATTTACACTTTTTGCATTTTTCCAGCTGGAGGACTCCGGCACCTATGTGTGCGAGGCTGTCGGCTATCCGAGCTACCAGCAGGGCCAGCAGGTCACCGTTCACCTCACCGTCGAGCGCTGTAAGTATCCTTCAGAAGGGTGGGGTGCTGGGGGATATTTGTAGACCTCAAAGTTGAATCCATTCCAACACGCATGCAGCCTGGGGCGAGCACAAGTACGAGGAGCTCAAATCGAGTCGCATCCGGTATGGCACAGTGCCGCACATTGATCTCGAGTTCTTCGGTCTAGGTAGGCTTGTGTGACTCGTCTCTCCCGCGTCACATGGTGGGGGGGTAATAAGTGCAAACTAACTGTTAACTTTCTCTTTCTCTCTTCCCATCCCCTATGCCGCTTGGCTGTGGGCCTGGTAAGCCGGTTGGCCCGTTGGCCCGCGTCCCACCACAAGCTCTAGCTGTACTGACTCCTTGCCTGTTCTCTGTACTCCCTGCCAGATAACGACTTGGGCTCGCGTCCGAGCACAGCCTGCAGCCAGTACCAGGCCACGTGCATGAACGGCGACTGCATTGACAAGAGCAACATCTGCGATGGCATTCCACACTGTGCGGATGGCTCCGATGAGCACAGCTGCAGCCACGGCCGCAAGTGCCAGCCGAATCAGTTCCTCTGCAGCAACTCCAAGTGCGTGGACCGCACCTGGCGCTGCGATGGCGAGAACGACTGTGGCGACAACTCCGATGAGACCTCCTGCGATGCCCAGCCCAGCGGCGCACCTTGCCGCTTCAGCGAGTTCCAGTGCCGCAGCGGCCACTGCATACCCAAGAGCTTCCAGTGCGACGAGGTCTCCGACTGTTTCGATGGCAGTGATGAAGTCGGCTGCAGTAAGTAATCCAACAATATCCAACAATCCCTAACTGACAGACTGAAGACTAGTTCAAAGACTTGAGCTGAGATTTCTTCCTGAAACTGAACCCAAAGAAGGCTTCTGTAGTTCCAACTGCCACAGGCTAGGACTATCAAAATAAATCAGATCACATTACCCTTGCGCTTTTAGTTCACAAGTTGCTATCCGTAGGAGTCCCAAAAATTCAGTTCGTCCAGCAGTCGCTTGAAAATTTATCCGATTAAATTCCGGAAAATCTCGGTAAATTCGGCAAAAATTCGCGCACAAATGTCGAACGAATCAAACGACGAAACAAGCTCCATAACCTCCATAACCTCCTTGTTTGATTCCGCCGACGAGGAAACTGCGGCTAGTGGAAGTGGCAGCGACGGCGACGGCGATGCCAGCAACCACGCACCGCGCGAAAAGTCAGCCTTCGAGCTGTTCCTTCAATATAGGAATGTCCCCACGATGAATTTAGTGTGCGAGAACTTGCTGTTGAGCATCCGCAACTACTTCCTGGCCCTCGTGGGCACCGAGCACTTTGCACAGCTGTCGGTCACTCATCTGGAAACGATGCTGATGAGTGACCGGCTGGGCATCAATCAGGAGTTGGAGGCCTTCTTCGTGGTCCTCCACTGGGTGAAGCAGTCGCCGCCGGAGCGCCAACAGCACATTGGGCGCCTGATGGCGTGCGTCCGCTTCCAGTGGATTCCGGTGGACATCCTCTACAAGCTGCGCACCGCCGCATTGGTCCCGGAGCTGACTGGCTCATTCGGAGTGCCCGAAGTTGCCGAGACGCTGCTGCCCCTCGTCACATATGGCCTGTGGTATGCCAGTCTGCTGAGCGCCTATCATGGCAACCACGCGGCCTTCGAGGAGTTGTGCAACGCCAACGATGTGACGCTGGTGTATCCGCGGAAGTACGTCTACCACAAGGATTGCCCCTACCACGTGTACGAGCTGGGCACCGGCCCGTTGCCGGCGGTTGCCTGCTGTGCCAAGGCGTTCCACGACTACATCGACAGCCTGCAGCCGGTCTGGGAGGGCGAGGGGCCGCCAAGCAAGGGCGATGCACTCGTCGAGGATGCCCAGACAGACGGACTTGGGCCACTAGGCCCCACACAACCAACCAACTAACTGATTACTGGCAGCAATCCCCACACTTTATTTACATCTCAGTGATGTGTCGGTACATAATTTACACACTTAATAACATAGATTTAATCTATTACAATATTAAAATATTTCGAACAATTTAACGCAGAGCAAAGCTGCGCCAGTGCAATGTGCAAGAACAGATCCACAAATAACAGAACACATAACAGAACGCATAACTGAACACATAACAGAACAGATAACAGAGCAAATGGCAGAACAGATAACAGAACAATAAATACAAAAACAACAACAAATAGAACAACAAATATAACCCACAAATAACAATTGAAGTGTGTATTTTATGTTTTTAAATAAATACTCGTACCAATTATGATCCACAACTAAGAATAAGGGATACAGTACAGAACAGTAACAGAACAGATAACAGACCAAATAACAGAGCAGAACCCAGAACAGTTAACATAGCATAACTAAATGGATAACAAACCAGTTAACAGAGCAAATAACATAGGAGTTGACAGAACAGCAAAACAGAACTAACAAGATACAAATAACAGAACAGCAAAAATACAACAACAAATAACAATTTAATAAACATTGAAGTATATACATACATATATGATGTATGTATGTACGTATATTTAAATAAATACCACCATGAATACTAATCCCTTTCGCTCTGCTCATTCTCAGTGGAGCCCGTGCCCATTCGTCCGCCGCCACCAGTGAAGGGACTGCTCGAGAGCGAGCCCCTGGACCTGACATGCGTGGCCACCGGCACACCCATACCGACGATTGTGTGGCGCCTCAACTGGGGCCATGTGCCCGAGAAATGTGAATCGAAGAGCTTCGCTGGCACCGGCACCCTCCACTGCCCGGACATGCAGGTGCAGGACAGCGGTGCCTACTCCTGCGAGATCATCAACTCGCGCGGCACGCACTTTGTCACCCCGGACACCATTGTGACGGTCACACCGAACCGTCACCAGTTCTGCGAGGCCGGCTTCTTCAACATGCTCGCCCGCTCCGAGGAGGAGTGCATCAAGTGCTTCTGCTTCGGCGTGGCCAGCAGCTGCGAGAGCGCCAATCTGTTCTCGTACGCCATCCAGCCGCCGATACTGTCGCATCGCGTGGTGAGCGTGGAGCTCAGCCCCTACCGCCAGATCGTGATCAATGATGCGACCAGCGGGCAGGATCTGCTCACCCTCCACCATGGCGTACAGTTCCGTGCCTCGAACGTTGTCTATGGCGGCCGGGAGACGCCCTATTTGGCTCTGCCCAGCGACTACATGGGCAGCCAGCTCAAGTCGTACGGCGGCCATCTGCGCTACGAGGTCAGCTACATGGGCAGCGGACGGCCAGTGTCCGGGCCCGATGTGATCATCACCGGCAATCGCTTCACCCTCACCCACCGCGTGCGCACCCTGCCGGGGCAGAACAACAAGGTGAGCGTGCCCCTGCTGCCAGGCGGCTGGCAGAAGCCCGACGGCCGCAAGGCCACCCGCGAGGAGATCATGATGATACTCGCCAACGTGGACAACATTCTCATCCGACTGGGCTACCTGGACAGCGTGGCCCGCGAGGTGGATCTGATCAACATCTCCCTCGACTCGGCCGGCACCGTCGACCAGGGCCTGGGCAGCGCCTCCCTCGTGGAGAAGTGCACCTGTCCGCCCGGCTATGTGGGCGACTCCTGTGAGAGCTGCGCCCCCGGCTATGTGCGCCAGCCCGGCGGCGCCTGGCTGGGCCACTGTGTGCCCTTCACCCCCGAGCCCTGCCCAGCCGGCACGTACGGCGATCCGCGGCGCGGCATTCCCTGCCGCGACTGCCCCTGCCCGCAGACCGGCAGCAACAACTTTGCCAGCGGCTGCCAGCTGCGTCCCGACGGTGAGGTGCTCTGCAACTGCTTCGAGGGATACGCGGGCAAGCGGTGCGAGAGCTGCGCCGCCGGCTACCAGGGCAACCCCCTGGCCCCGGGTGGCAGCTGCCACAAGACCCCGGAGTCGTCGTGCAACGTGGACGGCACCTACAGCATCTATGCGGACGGCAGCTGCCAGTGCAAGGACCGCGTCGTCGGCGAGAACTGCGACAGCTGTGCCGCCAACAGCTTCCACCTGAACTCGTTCACGTACACGGGCTGCATCGAGTGCTTCTGCAGCGGCCACCAGGTGGACTGCGGCAGCACCTCCTGGAACCGTGACCAGGTGACGAGCAGCTTCGGCCGCACCCGGGCACCGCACGGCTTCGAGCTGGTGCGCGACTACACGCGTCCGACGGCCCAGAGCCTGGAGATAGCCACCTACGGCTCGGAGCTGAGCTTCAACGCCGAGGGAGAGCACGGGGCGGACACGCTCTTCTGGAGCCTGCCGGCCGTCTTTCTGGGCAACAAACTGACCTCGTACGGCGGCAAGCTGAGCTACACCCTCAGCTACAGCCCGCTGCCGGGCGGCCAGATGTCCCGCAACAGTGCCCCCGATGTGGTGATCAAGAGCGGCGAAGATGTGCAGCTCATCCACTACCGCAAGTCGCCCGTTAGCCCCACCACCGCCAGCTCGTACTCCGTTGAGATCAAGGAGAGCGCCTGGCAGCGCAGCGACGGGCAGTTCGCCAACCGCGAGCACACCCTGATGGCCCTCAGCAACATTACGGCCATCTACATCAAGGCCACGTACACGACCAGCACCAAGGAGGGAGCCCTCAAGCAGGTGTCCCTCGACACGGCCACCGCCACACCGCTGGGCACCCAGCGCGCCTACGAGGTGGAGGAGTGCCGCTGCCCCACCGGCTACATTGGACTCTCGTGCGAGGCCTGCGCCCCCGGCTACAAGCGCGACGATGACGCCGGCCTCTATCTGGGTCTCTGCGAGCCCTGCGAATGCAACGGACACTCGACCCAGTGCGATGCCGAGTCTGGCGATTGTATCGTAAGTATCGCCCCATTCCTTCGATCCCCCCACTGATCAGCATTAATCCATATTCCCCTCTTAGAACTGCTCCGATAATACGGAAGGACCCTACTGCGATCGCTGTGCGGCCGGATATGTGGGCGACGCCACTGGCGGCAGCCCGTACGACTGCCAGCCGGACGGAGGAGAGCCAGAGCCACAGCCACAGCCCCCATACCGGCCATTGGAGCCGGGCAACCAGACGAGCGAATGCAGCCGCTGGTGCCAGGCGGAGGGAACGGTCAGCTGCCAGGGCAACTACTGCTACTGCAAGCCGAATGCAATCGGGGATCGGTGCGACCAGTGCCGCCCGGGCACCTATGGGCTGTCTGCCGACAATCCGGACGGTTGCAAGGAGTGCTACTGCTCCGGACAGTCGACACAGTGCCGCTCGGCGCCGCTCTACCGACAGCTGATACCCGTGGACTTCTTCAAGAATCCACCGCTGCTGACGAACGAGGACGGGCAGATCGAGGACGAGAATAACCTGGACTTCGATGTGGCCACCAACATGTACACGTACTCGCACTCCTCCTACCTGCCCAAGTTCTGGAGCCTGCGCGGCAGTGTGCTGGGCAACCAGCTGCACTCCTACGGCGGCGAGCTGCAGTACAAGCTGCACGTGGAGTCGCGTAACGGCCACAGCGTGCCCGGCCAGGATGTGATCCTCATTGGCAACGGTCTGACGCTGATTTGGTCGTTCAACCAGGAGACACCGGATGGCCTCAACAGGGTGCGCCTCAACGAGGATGGTCAGTGGCAGCGCAAGGATCGCGGTCGCACTGTCCCCGCCAGCCGCAGCGATTTCATGAGCGTCCTCTCCGACCTCGAGCACATTCTGATCCGTGCCACGCCCAAGGTGCCAACCGATCGCACCTCCATCGGCGACGTGATCCTCGAGTCCGCCGTCGCCTATGCCAGCCCCGGCCAAAGCCAAGCTGCCATCGACATTGAGCTGTGTCAGTGCCCCGCCGGCTATACCGGAAACTCCTGCGAGACCTGCGCCCCGCTCCACTATCGCGATGCCGATGACTCCTGCCGTTTGTGCCCCTGCGATGCGAACAACAGCGATGGCTGCCGCCTGGACAGCAACGGCTACCCGGAGTGCCAGTGCAAGCCCCGCTTTAAGGGTGAACTCTGTCGGGAAATCGGTAAGTCCAATGTCGAGTCTCCTTCACCTGAAGATCCATCCACAAGCGATTGCCGATTGCGGATTGCAGACTGGCGCTGCCTTGATTCATACCGAACCATACACCGATCCCCCTGAATATTCTTTCCCGTTTCCCATCTAACTTGCCGACTCTCTGTCCCCTCTCTTGAACTCTCCACCAACCAACCAACCAACCAACCAACCAACCAACCAGCCATCTACCTACCTATCGTGTCCTTCCTTAAACGATCTTTCGTCAAGGCTTCTACTTAGATCAAGTTCAATATACCCGATGCCCGATGCCCGATACTCGTGGAGTGTTTAAATTTGAAATATTTATACTCAGTCTGTGTCTCCGTTTGTCCATAGCCCACATAGTTCCAGATCCAAATTGTAAATTGTAAATAAAATACGGATAGCATCGGGTATCTGAGAGTCGGACCATCGACTGTATTCTCTTGGAAAGTACAACCCCAAAACAACAACAAACAAACAAACAAACAACAACAAAAACACTCCCATCCATCCACATTCTAGACACATCGCCCATTATCGAAGAACCACCCAAGATATGTGATATAAGCAGGGGATTCTGTTGCAGCGGCTTTCAGTTCGATATTGCGCCCAACGAGACAATCTCGTACAATGACACCTTCCTGATATATAAAGACAACAGAATCATAGGAAATATAACCAAGCTGCGCTACGGCTGTCACTTGAGAGGTTCGCTCCAGAGTCCCACCATCAACACAGAACGAACACGAAACACTCTACCAAACCAAAAGCAAACTCTATTCGTTATATTGTTCTATTGTCTAATACTCGTACTTGCCTCACACCTGAAAATAATAACCGATATACTCGTTATAGACGGCACACACTCTCCTCTACTCTATAAAGTATATATGTTCCTCTTGTGTAGACATGCAGTATACTTATGTGTGTATATGTTTAGAGCATAGCTAACTTCTTGTACTCGTACTAGTATGTCTGTGAGCTAAACACAAGCCCCCGCAGTACATAGTACTTTTTGTACTCGTACTCGTCGTATTCTTGGGTTAGAACTAGCTTCCTCTCTTTCTCACTCTCACCCTCACTCTCTCACTGTCTCATTCTTTGTCTAAGCTTAAGTCTATGTTCAGTCTCACTCGCTGTCGCTGTGTAGCTATTGAACTCGCCAGCGCTCAAGCTCTTTGCTCTCGTTCACGCTCAGACGATAAGCGAGTATTTAATAAGCTCGCTCTGGCGATGAGCGAGTAACAGATGCTCTAGCTCAGAGTAGTAACGTGTAGCTGATGCTGCTCCCGCTCTGATGATGTACGATTATCTTATGCTCTCGCTATAATGATTTCAATGATGAGCGAGTAACTGATCTAAAATCAACGTAGCCCTATATAGTCTATGTGTCTTACTTGTTCTTACCTACCCCCATGTAGTTTTTTGTAACTCTCTCTCTCTACCTATCCCTCACCCTCTCTCCCTCTACCACCCTCTCTCTGTCTTTATTTGTGTGGGTGTGCCAGAGCATTCATTAAGCCACGACACCAACGATTGGCCAGGAATGACGCTCAAGTAGTCGAATCATTTAGTCGCTATACTTTACCTTATATACATATACCTCGTATATACCCCGTACTAACCCTCCACAATCGATGTCCGCACCAGAGTTTGGGTACCCAATTACTAGCCGATCCGATCCACCGTATAGAATATTGAATACATGTAATTTGTAGCTGATCTTTCTGTCACCTAACCTATTCTACCAAACCGAAGTTGCCCATCTCCGCCATAATCAGAGCTCTCTAGCGGGTGCCCTACCCTTTACCTTTACCTGTACCTTTACCTTTACTCCCCTCAAAATCGAAACTAAAACTTAGACTTGGAATTGCCCGACCCCTGAAAGCGTGATTAAACCGCAACCAAAAAAATGTCACTAACATCCTACGTAGAGGAACTTAGATTGTGGGTGCTCGATATTCAATTTCATTTGGCGCCAATATCTAATCTATTTGCGTGCTTTATCCTGCGGCAAACCCCAAACCCAAACCCCATACAGACACAGGCAACGAGCCCGAACAGGAACCGGAGGAGCCAGAAGATAATGCCCTCACTCAGATTATTGTGTCGATAGCCAGGCCCCAGATCACGATTGTCCCCATTGGCGGCTCCCTTACGCTCAGCTGCAGCGGTCATATGCGATGGAACAATGTGAGTAATCAGCCTATTAAATATAAATATACTTTTCCGAATGCTGAATTCTGTTTCTGTTTCTGTTGCTGTTGCTGTTGCTGTCTTCCAGGATCCTGTGCTCGTTAGCTGGTACAAGCAGAACAGCCGCCTGCCCGAGGATTCCGAAGTGGAGGGTGGAGTGCTGCATTTGTATAACCTGCAGATCAGCGACTCTGGCATCTATGTGTGCCATGCCGAGAACAACGAGACAATGCGTGCCTACCAGGACACCGTCTCCGTCACCATATCACGTGAGTAGACCGCTTCCCAGAGTGCCCCCGTCCGCCCAACCGTTTTGCTAATCATTAACATTGACACTCCACTGACATTGCGGCTCTAACTGAAGGATATGCCAAGGAAATGTTGGCTCGCTATGGTAGCTAAAAGACTCCCCAAAGAATCCCCTAAGAATCCCCCCAAGCATACGCCTAGAACATCCCTTAAAATCCCTCATAATTCCTTTGCTTTTTTTTATTATTAATTTTTCGCATTTTGCAGAGGAAGGCCAACGCTCGCCGGCCCAAATTGTGCACCTGCCCAATCATGTGACCTTCGAGGAGTACCAGCCGAACGAGATCAACTGCGAGGTGGATGGCAATCCGGCGCCCACTGTCACCTGGACCCGCATCGACGGCCAGGCCGATGCCCAGACCCGCACCGATGGCACCCGCCTGATCTTTGACTCGCCGCGCAAATCCGACGAGGGACGCTACCGATGCCAGGCGGATAACAGCCTCAATCGCGACGAGAAGTACGTGCATGTCTATGTGCAGAGCAGTGCCCCGCCATCGCCGCCACCGCGCGAACGCGTCTTCATTCAGCCGGAGGAGTACAATGGAGTGGAGGGCGACACCTTCCGCCTGACCTGTCAGTCGACGAGCGGCGCCAATCTGCACTACGAGTGGTCCCTCAATGGCTATCCCCTGAGCGGTCAGCGCAACATCATTGTCAGCGGCAATGTGCTCGAGGTGCGCGACTCCAGTGTCCGTGACTCCGGCACCTATACCTGTGGCGCCTACGATCTGCGCACCCATCGCAACTACACCGAAGATGCTCGCGTCTATATCGAGCGTCGCGACCAGCCACCCACCGACGACAGGTGAGTGATCCCAGCAGCCTGCCTCCATTCTGTTGCCATATTCTATTCTGTCTCTTATGCTCTCTCTCTCTCTCTCCGCAGTTCCATTCCCGTGATTGTGCGCCTCCAAGAGCTGATTACCATCGAGCAGGGACGCGACTTTAGCATCACCTGCGAGGCCAGCGGCACGCCGCATCCCTCGATCAAGTGGACCAAGGTGCACGACCATCTGGCCACCAACGTCCATGTGAGCGGCAATGTGCTGAGCATCTACGATGCTCGGCCCGAGAACCGAGGCCCCTACTCCTGCATAGCCGAGAACATACACGGCTCCGATCAGTCCAGCACGAATATCGACATTGAACGTAAGTTTTAAGCGGATCCAAGGATCCAAGGTTCCCAGGTGGATCAAAGGTAGCCAGCAGCACAGCTCATGAGCAAGAGATTGGCATTGGATATTGGATATTGGATTGGATGTTCTCCAATCGAAAGCCTCAAAGTACTGGGCTACCCTTGATCCTAGACCCTTGCTCAGTTCTCCAGGCATACACACCTAACCATGATATACCTAACCCAAAAGAGTCTGACTAAAAGAGTCTCTTCTTGAGCTAACAACTTTCCATTTGCTCTGTCTCCTTCTATCCTTATTAAATTATACTTTGATACTATTATTTGAATTTAAATTAAAAATAAAAAACTAATGCTATTGCGACATGCACAAGAAGTGCACAAGAGTGGAGTTGGTAATAAGACAGGTCCGCACAGTCTGATCCTAATACTAATCGGTGCCACCACCATCATTTACTTGTTTGCAGCCCGGGAGCGGCCGAGCGTTAAGATCGAGTCACCCGCACTGCAGACCCACTCGGTCGGCTCCCAGGCGTCGCTCTATTGCACCGCCAATGGCATACCAGAGCCCCAAGTGCAATGGGTACGCGTCGATGGTACACCGCTCTCACCGCGCCACAAGGAGATAGATCGCGGCTATGTTGTGTGAGTATCGCGAGCAGCATGCCATCATGCCATAATTAATCAATTAATTAATTGCCAAAACAGCATCGATGACATTCAAATTGCCGATGCCGGTGCATACGAGTGCAGGGCCGAGAATCAGGTGGGCAAGGCCTCGGGCACAGCATCGCTGCGCGTTGTGGAGGCCCCACTGGTGGTGATTAAGCCCGACCAACAGATCATCCGTCTGACCGATGGCGACGAACTGAATCTGGAGTGCTTGGCCAGCGGCTATCCCAATCCCAGTGTCCAGTGGAGCCCCAAGGGCCAGCAGCCCGAAACGGAGACCAGTCTGGGCGTGAACCGTGATCTCGGCAGCAACACGGCCTATCTGAAGATCTATCGCGTCAGCCTCGCCGATGCTGGCATCTACACCTGTTCGGGCGTCAACGAAGCCGGCAACGATGAGCGCAGCGTCCGTGTGGACATTCAGCCGAAACGCGGCGACATCAGTGACAGTAAGAGAAGATCCACAACAGACAATTGAATTGGCCAGTCAACAATCTCCCTCTCTCTCTCTATCTCCCTTAGATGATGGCGATGTGGACCATGGACCGTACCAAACGGACTACCCGCCGCCACCAGTCTCGCGACCAGGACAAACCCAACGCTTCTCCACCAACATTGGCGAGAATGTGACCCTTACCTGCGACCTGGGCCCCTATGTGACGCGTTGGGTGCGCGTCGATGGGCGGCCATTGCCCTCGAAATGCCTACACCGAGCGCAACAGCCTGGCGATCATCTATGTGCGCGAGCAGAATCTCGGCCAGTACCGTTGCAATGCGTACGACAACAGGGACGAGGTGGTCTCGTTTGTGGTAAGGGAGCTGGTGCTGCTGCCGCTGCCACAGATCACCTTTCAGCCGAAGATACCGCTGCGCGTCGATGCCGGCCAGAATGTGGAGATATTCTGTGAGGTGACCAATGCCCAGCCAGAGGATGTGCACTGGGCCACCGACAACAATCGACCACTGCCAGGGTGAGTTGACCTCCCATGACCCCCCTCCCTGGAGCACTTGCTCATGGATTGAACACAAAAATATTCCCTGCTTTAGTTCGGTGCGCATCGATGGCCAATTGCTGCGATTCATCTCGATTGCTCCGGCCGATGCTGGCGGCTATCGCTGCACGGCCACCAATTATTATGGCAACACCACCAAGACCGCCCAGGTGGTGGTCAATCCACCGACCGAATACGAGCAGGTGCCACAATCGGAGGTGCATAAGCGACGCGAGGGCGAGAGCATTCAGCTGCGCTGCAGCGCCACCATACACGGCGAAGAGCGCGGCAACCTGCAGGTAAGTAATGCCAGCAGCACCCCAGGCACCCCCAAATGGATTCCATTCCACCATTCCACCATTTTCCATTTGCAGTTTGAATGGTATCGCCAGGATGGCCGCTCCCTGCCGAATGGCGCCCGTTCTGACAGCCAGGTGCTGGTGCTGACCACGCTCCGGCCACAGGATGAGGGTCGCTACATCTGCGATGTCTACGATCATGCGAGCGGGCAGCGACTGCCTGGCACCGCTGTCGATTTGCAAGTACACCGTGAGTAATCGCCCCCCATTGGGGTTCTCCCACTGTTGGGTCGGATACGGGACTGGGGACTCGGGACGCGGCGATGGGTGGTCGGTGTGGGCTTCGTTCTGGCTGAACCGGATGGCTCAGAGCCATCGGGGGATACGGGGCGGAGCAGCCCGCAAGCCAACCCCCTCCCTGCCTACTTCCCGCCCCACCCACCCACCGAGCCGGAGGCCCACCCCACACAGACACACACACACACACACACACACACACACACAGCCAGAGTCAGATGTCCTGTCCGACAAATGCGATTAAGCAGCCAGCAAATATCTCTTATATCTCTCTGTCTCTGCCTCTGTCTCTCTCACCCACACACACAACACACACACACCGCCCCTGCACCTTGCCCTGCCCCACTGCTACACCCCCCAATAAATATTAGCCAGTGGGGATTACTCCGATAAAATTTTACATCAAAATATAAACACAAATCTATCAGTAGATGTCAGACCTCCATGTGAACACAAATTGCAGTCGAATTGAATTGAATTGAGGCCTCTAATTTACATCCCCCCATACGAAAAAACAAAAAGAAAGACCCACAGAAACGAAACGAGAACACGAAAATATTCATTAAATGGAAAACAAAAGATCAGCTAAAAGGAAACAAGAAGCAGAAGAAGAAGGTTAATGTTAAGGAATGTGTGTTAGGCTTTTGAGCAGGTTTGATTTTCGTTCGCTGATTTTACTAATTTCGCCCCAACACCACACCAACCACCCCGTAAAAATACTCTCTCGTAAATACTATATACTGTATGTGTATATATATATTCTATACCCATCAATGTAATCGTATATGTTAAACGTAAAAGTAAATTAAAAAGCAAAAATACTGAAAGAGCACCCAAACGCAAAAGCAATAGCAAAAGCGGTAAACGAAGACACACTGTAAATATGTAAAAAATCGGGAGAGGGCTACACTCTGTATATAACAAATTAAATCAAATCAAAGGCAGAAACACTCAAACAATCAGTCAGTCAATCATTGCATATAAAACGATAGTCCCGCCCCTCCCACACCACAACCACAACCCCAACCACAACTACACCTACACCTATTCTCTTTCTCTCTCTGGTGATGGAGCCATATGGAGCTGGATGGCACTCACTGCATGCAAAGCCAAAAATATTCCAAATTGTTTTTGTTTTGAAACGAAATTAATATTAAGTTCTGCCCAAAAAAAAAAAAAATAAAAACAAATTTATGTACACACACACACAGAAAACATTTAATATATATATAGACAGACACAGACACACACACACACACACTCCTACACAACTTGATAAATCTTAAGCTTACCAGAATGGCTGCCACACTTCTAATACGATACCATAACTCTTAAGCCCCACTAAAAGTGCGAAATAAAAACATAATATTAACATTAAACAAAACAAAACAAACAAACAAAAAATATAACTACTCGCACAGCAGAAATTGTGTGAAGCAAACCAACAAAAAAAACAACAACAACTTGTAAGATATTCTTTTTATTTCACCCATTTGAATGCCCCTGCAGCAGCCAAAAAGGTTCAACTAAAATTTATAACTACAGCCATAGAAGTCCGAACATTGTCCGTCATTGTGATCCACTTTTGGGATTTTACAATTTACGAATAATCTACAGCGCTCTTTTAGTTCAGTTAATGCATAATTATTCGGCGGGCATATTGCGCGTCATGCAGCACCGCCCCTCAGTTGGCCTTGCGCTTCTTCATGGATTCATCCATGTAAAAGAATTTCCATAAACTTACTCATTTCATTTATCTTTGGCAAGGCTCCCTTAATCCCTGGAAACCACCACTCGATATGTCTGCAGGGGCAGATACTGAAGTCTCGGTATACCGAGGACTAGACTTATAGTTCTGCTTGATTAACATTTGAATCTGGTTTGTTTTTGGTGTCGGTTGTATCATCGGATGTCGTTACTTTCACTCTGGATACTCCTCTGGCCCCCTTCCCTCCTTGGTGATGGTCTCTCTCACTCCCTTTATTTATCCTAATCTATTTATAATTATAATTATCTAATGGTTTATCGGTTGTCATTTATTTGTTTGTGTTTTTTGTGTATTAATTGTATGTATGTGTGAATCAAGGAATAGGTATTGTAAATGATCTAAAATCTAAGCACTGCACACACTATATCTATATCTATATCTCTATCCTCTCTTACTTTGACTTTATTTTCCTCAATCTTGATCTGCTTCCCTTCATTTTCCGCTGTCTTTATCTCTTTCCCTGAACTCTCTCTCCCTTTCCCTCTTTCTCTCTGCTTTTCTATCAAAGGTTGTTGAACACATATGTAGATAAAACGAAGAACAATTCCGAGGCGGATGCCAATAGAAGATCCAGCTGAAGCTCTTGGTTCGGCTGTCGTGCCGAGATTACCATCTCACAGTAAGACGTTCGACAAGGCTCATTAACTGAGAGAGTTCCCTTTGCTATCTCTCTCATTCGGCATCTACGTGTTCTATAATCTTTGGTCCTATCTATCCATCAGACTTTCGCTCTCTCTCTGTTTATTTTCTATACTCCTTCTATCATCACAGAAGTTGCACCTGCACAACCAGCAAAAAACAAAAAAAAATACAAAAACAAATTGCAAAACCAATCGAATTCGAAAAAAAGCACAAAAAATCAATTGTAAATAATACCGAAATAATGTCACCAACTCTTGTCTTAAATTATTGTCTTGAACTTAGATAAAATCAGTCAAAAAAACAGAGAAAATATCGTTGAAAATGAGAAAAACGAATGCAGAGTTTTTAAATGCAGGGCAAAGATATTTGTAAATTCCGAGTACGAGTATTACTTAGCGTAGAATCTTGAATGTCGTCGGGCAACAAATGGAACGAACATTTTTGATTAATTTCATATTTATTTCTCTTTCTCTCTCTCTCTCACACACGCTTTCTCTCTCTCTCTCTCCCACTTTCTTACATGTGCGCTTGTTAAAAAAAAAAAAAAACAATACAATGCAATACAATACTTTTACATTTACCTTTGACCTAAAACTGATCTACTTACGATAAACTATATATGATATGTGCGCTTTTGATCTGATCTGATCTGATCCGATCCGTTACTCTGAAACCAAAACCACACACAAACAAAACACAAACAAATTTAATGGTATGGTATGGTATGGCATGCAACCTGCAACAATCAATCGAATCAACTGCTACAACTCTACAACCCATAGGAGCCCCATATCAATACAAGGTCGGGCAGAGTCTGAAAGACATGCCCTGCGTGGTTTTCTATATATGTGCTGCAGGTGTGTTACCTCTACCGCCGCCCAATCAAATCTAATCGATGAAAAAAAAAAAAAAAACAAAACAAAACAGAACACACTCCTCCTTTATTATTTTTTCGTATTCTTTCTTTTATATATTTTCTGTTGCCTTTTATTTTGATTTTGATTTTATTTTGTTTTGCTTTGTTTTATTTAAATTTTTTGTATTGTATTTTTAATCCAAAATGATCTATCAATCTGTATTATGTACTGCCTAACCCTAGAGCCATAGAAGTTTTATAAAAAAAGAAAATAATACCAAAAAAAAAAAAAAACAATCGTTTGAAGATACTTCCATGAAACGTTACGTTACCCCCCCCCGTCCTTGACCAACCCCAGCACTAGCGAGTAGTTCGATAGCGATAGCCGATCCCACACACACCCATCCCTGGTCGATGGCCGATAACAATTTAGCGCATGCATGGCTTACGATAAATGTAGTACCTATCTAGTGGGCGTAGGCATACATGTACATACGATAATACCGATTGGTGCGGTGCGGTGCGATGCGAGTCGGTGCGTACTAACATTTATTGGCTATCGAGGCGGCTGCATACATTGCTAATCGTTCATTTCTATGCCTTTTGAATTGGGAAATGCCACAAATGCAAAACAAACAAAAAAAAAACCGTTACCGATACCGATAAATATCGATACAAATCGAAAAATGCCAAACAAAAATCGCGCAATCACAGACTTCAAGAGCAGCAAGGGGACATCCATCAAGACACTAGCTCCTGGAGGCACCATCCGTCCCCCCATCATCTCGTACGCGTGCCAGCCGAGCGACTTCAAATGCGTATCGCATCCGCATACCTGCATCAAAGCGGGCATGGTGTGCGACGGCATCTACGACTGCCTGGACCACTCGGATGAGTTCAACTGCATAGGAACGGCCGTCAAGACGGGGAAGACCTCAACGAGCTCAGGATCAGGATCTGGATCAGGATCTGGATCAGGATCGGGCAGCTTTAAGCGTTGGAAGAAGAGCCAGAAGATGGACAAGAACCAGCAGCATCATCTAGTCGGAGGACGACGGCTGCAGAAGCGTCATCTGGCCTTGAGGAAGAGCTTCGGTTGGTCCAAAATCTTCATTTTCTGCCATTTCTTGACCTATTTCCCCCACCCTCTTTCCCGCTACTACCCCAACTTCTATCTATCGATCCCCATCTGTTTGACTATCCCCTGACTTTCCTCTGGCTGTCTAACAAGTCTCCCTCTGTTCGTGGGTGCACTAAACTTGCACTCAACGTTTGGACATGGATTCGGATTCAGATACTGATACTGAACATCTATTGAACACCGACCAACTCAACAGCACCACAGCAACAGTACGCAGCAAAATGCAGAACTGGCACGCACTCGCAACGGGTTTCTAGAGGCTTAAGAAATAACAATAACCTATCGGTAACAAATCGATTTTGAAAATATTTAAACTTTTGCAGCGTTCACAGAGATGAAAAATCTAACAGGTTTCGGGGGTGTTCGTTCGCCCTAACAAGTGGTATACATCGATTAACTTTAATCGATTATTATGTTTTGCTGTCATCGATTAACTTGCATGTGGCTGGCCGATAAGGGTAACTGTTACTAACACCAAACACACACATATAAAAATAGAGCTTTCTTTTGAATAATCCCGAAAAATGGAAATACGAAATTATTGTAAATAATACACCACACCCACACAAACATACACATTAGAGAAATTCGATAAACGATAATTAAGCAATCGACATTTGTTGACTTAATAAAAAAAAAAACCCTGTATGTATGTATCCGTATCTCGTATATATTTATGTGACCACCAAAACAGTAAACATTTGCGAAATTTTAGTGGTAACCCAAAAAGTCCAAAATTAGAGTTTGAGTACTCGATCAAAATGTATTCCGATAAACAAAAAAAATCCGACCATTGAAAATATCTATCTATCTATCGATCTATTCCATCTGTAACCCACCCCCCATATGTAATCGTATTCTGTGTGATTCGACCCTAGCTGTAATCGAGTAATTGTAGCTCTCTCTGTACACATAGTAGTCCACAATCCATCACCACACTACACGCCACCTAGTCCCCACCTAGTCTCTGTTGCTCTCTCTCTCTCTATATATACATACTTATATATGTAGATGTATATGTATACCATATTTCTGTATTGTCTAACTAGGAAGCAAAATTCCAAAAAAAAAAACGAAACGACTAAAACAAAGCAAAGTGCAATATGAATCGAACGATGGAATCGTTGGAATGTGTTTATCGAACGATTAAACGAACGTTTAATGGTTGTTGATGCCATGATCAATGTCTGATCGTTTTTTATAAATTAATCGATAATCGATCAATTAATATCGATATTTATGAAATTTAATCATTGCTATTGAAAATTATATATAAATATAAACATATGATTTAAATACCATTCCCATCGATTATTCATCGATTTATCGTTCGATAATTATCGTTTACTTTACTGTTTGAACCGCCATTTTCTTGACATGTAAATTTTGCTAACTGTTTTATCTTTCTCTCTCTCTCTCTGTGTATTTTTTTTACCCATTTTTATTCCCATTTTCCACGAATACACACAAACACACACGAATCACACGCACACACACGAATCACACACAAACAAACACATGCACCATTGCACATCCTTTTGTGAATTGTCGCTGAAATTGTGAACGTTACGCGCCGACCCGATCGATCGATCTACCCCGATCTGGTCGTTGTCCTTGTCGCTTCCTGTACCTGTGCCCGTTCCTGTTCCTGTGCCGTCTTCCTGTGCCGTCTCTGGTGTTGGTGTATCTGCAGCGGGTCTTCCAGTGGCCCCAGCTACACCCCCGCCGGCACCGTACCGTCCCGCCTACCTGCCGCCGGCCACAACGCCGGCCCGTCCCCGGGACTACAGGCTGAAACTGGACCAACAATCATCGAATCTGCGTGCGGGAGAGTCCACCGAAGTGGAGTGCTACTCCTCGGACAACAGCTACACGGATGTGGTGTGGGAGCGGGCCGACAGCCAGCCCCTCAGCCCCAATGTTCAGGTGAGCATCGTCATTGGATATTTTATTTCTGTGATTTTTCACTAGCGAATCCCGGAATTACCCTTGCAGCAAGTCGGCAACCGCCTGGTGATTAGTGATGTGACTGCCGCCGATGCTGGTCAGTATGTGTGCAAGTGCCGCACGGATGAGGGCGATCTGTACACGACCAGCTACGAGCTGACCATCGAACAGCAGCCCCACGAGCTCAAGCGCTCCAAGATTGTCCACGCGAAGGTGGGCGCCGATGCCAAGCTCCAGTGCGGAGCGGATGCCAGCCGCCAGCCCAGCTACCGCTGGTCCCGCCAGTACGGACAGCTGCAGCCAGGACGATCGCTGCTAGGAGTAAGTCCAACCCACACCCCCCCCCCCCACTCTCCCCCTCTCCAGCTGCTCACACTTTGTTTACTTCTCTCAGGAACATCTTGCGCTAGAGGATCTGCAGGCCAACGATGCTGGCACCTACATTTGCACGGCCGTGTACGTGGATGGCGAGTCCGTGGACTATCCCAGCATTCTGGTGGTCACCGGTGCCATACCGCACTTCCATCAGGCACCGCGCAGCTACATGAGCTTCCCCACGATGCCCAACTCCTCGTTTAAGCTCAACTTTGAGATCACCTTCCGGCCGGAGGGCGACGACGGACTGCTGCTGTTCAACGGACAGACGCGCGGCACCGGCGACTACATAGCCCTCTCGCTGAAGGACCGCTACCCGGAGTTCCGCTTCGATTTCGGCGGCAAGCCGATGATCATTCGAGCGGAGGAGCCGCTGCAGCTGAACGAGTGGCACACGGTGCGCGTGCACCGCTCCAGGCAGGACGGTTACATGCAGGTGGACGAACAGCACCCAGTGGCCTTCCCCACACTGTCGCAGGTGCCGCCGCTGGATCTCATCGAGGACCTGTACATCGGTGGCATGCACAGCTGGGATCTGCTGCCCGCGGATGCGGTGCCCCAGCAGACGGGCTTCGTCGGCTGCATCAGCCGCCTGACCCTCCAGGGCCGCACCGTCGAGCTGATGCGCGAGGCCAAGTTCAAGGAGGGCATCACCAGCTGCCAGCCCTGTGCCCAGAGCCCCTGCGCCAATGGCGGCATCTGTCTGGAGAGCCAGACGGAGGTGGCCTACTCCTGTGTCTGCCAGCAGGGCTGGACCGGCCGCAACTGCGCCGTTGCCGGCACCCAGTGCACCCCGGGCGTCTGCGGAGCCGGACGCTGCGAGAACACCGAACTGGACATGAACTGCCTGTGCCCCCTGAATCGCACCGGCGACAGATGCCAGTACATCGAGCACCTCAACGAGCAGAGTCTCAACTTTAAGCGGAACAGCTATGCGGCTTACGGGTGAGTCATCAGCCCCCAGTCACCCAGTCACCCAGTCCCCCAGCTGTGATCCTGCCACTCTATATCCCTCTCTCTCTCTCCTCTCCCTCTCTGGATGTGCAGAACCCCCCGTGTCCTGCGTGTGAACATCACCTTGTCCGTGCGCCCCTCGAGCCTGCGCGACTCTGTGCTCCTCTATGCGGCAGAGTCGAAGCTGCCCAGCGGCGACTATCTGGCACTGGTGCTGCGCGATGGCCATGTGGAGCTGCTGATCAATACGGCGGCACGACTGCGTCCAGTCGTTGTGCGCTCGGCCGAGCCCCTGCCCCTGCACCGCTGGACGCGCATTGAGGTGCTGCGTCGCCAGGGCGAGAGCATATTGCGGCTGGGCGAGGGCCAGGAGCAGCGGGCCAAAGCCTCGGGAACGGCGCGCACCTTGTCGCTGAAGACGCCCCTGTTTGTGGGCGGTTACGATCGGGCCTCGGTGAAGATCAACCGAGACGTGAACATCACGGAGGGCTTCGATGGATGCATTTCGGGACTATACGACGCACGGCGGTCCATTCAGCTGCTGGCGGACATCAAGGATGCGGCCAATATCCAGAATTGCGGCGAACTAAATGAGATCGGTGGCGGCGATGGGGACGGTGAGGCTGAGGCCGATAGCGAGGTGCCAGTGGCCCCCGCTGTGGTGCCATCGAGTGCCACAGTGTCAGAGGACAACAGCGAGCAGGAGGAGCAACTGCAGCCCTACAACATGGCGCCGTGTGCCAGCGATCCCTGCGAGAACGGTGGCAGCTGCAGCGAAGTGAACAACCAGGCGGTCTGCTCCTGCCTCTTGGGCTACAGCGGCAAGCATTGCCAGGAGCGTAAGTTGAAGATCAGCCAGGCAAAAAATCAGCATTCCCTAATCCATTCTCTGGCCTGCTTAATAGACATCCAAGTGGGCTTCAATGCCTCGTTCCGCGGTCATGGCTACCTGGAGATCAATCGCAATCAATTCGATGCCGCCGTGGAGCAGCTGTTCACCTCCGCCGCCTTGGTCTTCTCCACCAGCAAACCGAACGGGCTGCTGCTCTGGTGGGGACAGGTGGCCGGCGAGGAGTTTGTGGGCCAGGACTTTATCGCCCTGGCCGTCGTCGATGGCTATGTGGAGTACTCGCTACGCTTGAACGGCGAGGAGACGGTGATCAAGAACAGTGACAACCGCGTGGACGATGGCCAGCGGCATATTGTGCTTGTGAAGCGAGTGGACAACACGGCCATTCTCGAGGTCGATCGCATCTCGCATTCGGGTGAGACGCGACCCACCGGCAAGAAGGAGATGAAGCTGCCGGGCAATGTGTTCATAGGTAAGCCGTAATTAAGCCCTTAAGTACCTCCAATTCTCACCGTTATCCCATTGCCCATTCCAGGTGGCATTCCGGACATTTCTCAATTCACGGGCGGCCGTCACACGCACAACTTTGTCGGCTGCATCGTGGTGGTTGAAGGCGACGCCGTTGGCCAGATCAATCTGGGCCAAGCCGCCGTCAATGCCGTCAATGTGGACACCTGTCCAGTGTAAGTAATAGACCCAGCCCTGCAACCTGCAATACTACCCCCCTATAACCTGTACTAACATTAACTACCATAAAAATAACTTAATTGGGTTTAGTGTTTGGAATCCGTCGAGCCTCGTCTATCACGAGTTCGATGCCAGCGATCCGAGCTTCTTCGATGAGCTGGATCAGCCGCCGCCAGTGCACATCTTCTATCCGCGGCCCAATCTCAGCCAGCTGCCATCGAATGCGGCGCACGGCTCCGCCTATCGATACACGTACGTGCTATCGTCGTTATCGCTGGCAGCCATCGTACTGTGTCTGCTGCCGGCCCCAAGCTAAGCTTCGAACCACCACCCACACAAAGCTGTTTTAGTTTAGACCAAAATGTAGAATCGAAACCATAATCGAAACAGTAATCGATATGGGTGTATCGTTTATCGCCCCCAGTATCCAAGTATCCAAAAACTATCTGAAGAGTGTTACAATTGAAATTATCGTGCCATATCATTGCAAAAATATCATGTTATATTATACAAAGTATATCGTATACCATCAGCCACATATAAAATATCGTACTACTACTACTATATAGAATAATCGACGATCGATAAACGACTAGGAAGAATCCTACAGGATTCGATGGAGGTTTTTTTTTTGTTTTTTTTTTAGACATGTAGTTAGCACCAAATGGAACATAAATACATACACATAGTACGAGTATTGTTGAAAAACTATTCCTTCTAGTTGGATTGTTCTCTCGTTTCAAAGCCAAGCTCAGGGCACACCTACCACACTCTACAATGCTACTAATCGTAACCTACATATCTCTAATATATATATATAATATATCGCTGAATTACGGAATATACAACGCAACAGATAGATAGATAGGAAGTCGTATACATATATGTATAGGACTTGGGGGAAATACATACCACGATCACGGATCCTACTACTACTACTCGTATCAACTCAACTACTATCCAATCCGATAGTTACGACTTAATATAGTCGAATTTGGAACTGCTTTGTGACCATAGCTATAAAAAATATACACCTACTGATTAAAGGGCATGCATACCGTGCATACGAAATGAGTATTGGTGTAAATACAATGCGTTTCAGTACTGTAAAACCAAAATTTCAATGAAATAAAAGTTGGTATTAACTGCCAGCTCCGACTCAAATCGGTTGCTGATAATGCCAGCTGTATTGGCAGTCATACAGTTCTGAAACGCACCATAAAAACTAACCTACACACGATACATTAAGATCAAATATTAAATAAGTCTGAAATGGCAGATTGATGAGGCTTTTACCCTATACAAACGATCCTCAAACGAACCTCCTCTTTCATCCCAGTTACGAAAAACGGAACCGGGCAATAAAAAAGATTTTTTTTAGATAACTTATTCCATTCAAATCGATTATTTTTCGCTCATTTTCGCTCAACCCTTGAGTTTGAACAGGGAATTTCCCTGTTTTTCTTATCGTTATCTTTATTGATTTTTGTTTGTTACTCGTTGTTTTAAACATCTTTATTCCATATTAATTTTTAATTGATTTACTTTAATTTTATATATTATTTTTTGTTTTTATTATTTCCCGTTTTAGTAACGATGAGTCCCTGGGAGGCACCGAACCGCCAGTTGTCTAAGGGATTCGACGCCCTCACACACAACACGCAAACCAACAACCGAAATTAGCTTTTTAATTAATTAACAAACAAAATGAAACCCAATTTCTATATTGTATATCGTACATGCACACTTGTACGCGGAGCAACAAATAACAATTACGATATGTTCTGTGTGTGTCGAGACCCAACACTATGATTGCTTCTTCGATCCTTAAGTCTTAGTTAAAGATTGTAGCAAGAAAAAGAAAAGAATGAAATATCACAAAAACAAAAAAAAACAAAACACAAGAGCCATATGAAGAAGTGAGACGACACGAGAACCGAAACGAAACAGAAACAAAAACAATAATAACAATAATATATACAGTTTAAGGCCTAACTAACTCTGCAACAATGAAAGAAAAAACCGCATACTAGCCAACAGAAAATCCAGAAAAACAACGGAAAAAAAAGAATGCAAAAGTAACGGATACGATAAAGAACAAGCAGCAAGCAAACAACAAGATAAATGCTCAATAGCAGAAGCATTTTAATTATAATTATAGTTTATATTTTATTATTATGAAGTATGTTTTTTTTTGTCCTGTGTAAAACCCCAGTGTAAAATGTTTTCAAATTAACATTCGATGGCAAAAAAAATGAATTGGAAATTCGTGAAATAAATATGCAGCCAGCCCAACCATCATACAATTATCATACATATACAGAATACTGAATAATGATAGTGCCACAACACCCACTGTGCGGGATGGATGCATGTAAAAACGAACGAATCACACACACAGTGCGAGTGGAAGAGCGCATAAGCAGGCAAAACAAACAACAAACAAAAAAGAATATATCTATTAAAAACGAAATCCACAATAGTTTCAAATGTGTTTTACTTTCAAGAGGTTTTTGGGATCATACGATCAGCATACCCCTACTGCTAAGGGGTATCAAAACAACAATAATTTGGCACGTGTTGGGCGGTGGAATGGTGTGGGGTGGGGCGCAGGAAACAGGAATCCAAGCAGTGGGAGGGAGGACCCGACCCCACCGATACCTCCGCTCACTGCAGGCCGGCAGGCAGGCAGGCAGGCAGGCGCGCGCAGCTTCCCAATCGCCGTGTGTTCGGTCCGCCGCCTCATCGTTTCGTTTCGTTTCGCTTCGGCCCTCGGCACTCGACACTCGGACCGGCTGCTGGCCGCGCACACTCTACTACGAGCCGTCAAGCAGTTCAGACGTGTCGAGTGCGAGAGAAGAGTGGAGCGAAACCGCTTTTGCTTTTGGTTTTGCTTTGGCGCCTTCCCAAATCGTGTTTACTTATCCCCTTTTTTCGAAAGCCTACTGCTACCGTGAGTGTGAATTGGTTTTCCCATCAGAGCCAGGTTTTATTTTGTTGTTCTTTTTTATTGTTTGTTTGTTTGTTGTTAATACAATTAACAGTAACGAATGCAAGTTCCGGCCACAGAGAGAAAGAGAGAGAGAGAGGGATCATATCAGCAAATGTAGTGAAAAATCAAAGGGAAAGTCTCAAAATAAATCGTTGAGCGAGAAAAAAGTGCGTGTGCCAAGAGATTGTTTATTTTTAAAACGGGCAAAAACGTTGAACGGCAAACCGGCAAAATACAAAATACAAAAACAAAGTCAAAACATATAATAACAATAAATTATATTCGCATCATTCATTCAATAAACCAACAATAAACGGCGAAAGACAAGACACCGAAGAGCAGCGCTATCGATCGCCAATAGATCATTAGATCGGATCGGTTTAAATCCGAACTTCAGATCAGCGGAAGTGACCAAAGATCAAGAGACCCACCCAACAAAATTCGAATTTACTCGTACCCCTAAATATTGCGGTTCATTGTGTGTGTGTGTGTTTTTTTAGTGTGTTTTTTCAAAGGCTTTGAAAATGCCATAAAATCTTTAATAGGTTTATTTTATTTACGAGTATTTGGGTTTGCCTTTATTCGTCGTCTTTCGTCTTCTGTGGGAAAAAATGGCAAGAATGCCCTCAAAAATCGAATCAAAATATTTACCGTTTTGACTGCGGATTCAATCGACGATCACCCTTCGGGTGAATCGGGACGCCTCCGCCTGCCTTCCTACAATTGCACAGGTGAGTGTCGCGTCGCGTCGCATTTAACGGTATATTGACTGCCTGCCTCGCGTTGCAAGTAGCTCGAAAGTAGTTCATCTGGTCAGCGCTGTCCATAAATGTCAGAGCCCCATCGCCATATCGATCGATTCCAGTTGACAACTCTTCTCCTCCTCCTTCTCCTTCTTCTTCTTCTCCTGCTCGCCGCATTGATGGTCATGTGGTTATGTCCTTTTTTGGGTGGGCGGCTCACCAGTTTGGCGACTGGCCACTGTCCACACCAGTCTCCAATTGCCGTTACTTTGTGGGTCATCGAACAAGTGTTGCATGTTGCACATCGGACTTTAGCTGGGACACAAACCTCCTCGCCTCCTTCAATGGGAAAGCAGCCTTCCAGCTGTTTTTGGTTGTTGTTGGTACATTCGTACTGTAGGGTATGGTATGTGGGGGGTATGGGGTAAGCGGTAGGGTTAGGTCCCATCATCCTTTATGTCCCCCACCCAACTTGTTGATGGCACTAATGAACTGTCTACGAGGCTCTGCCACAAGAATAGAAACCAGAAAGAGACACAGAGCGGGCAAGAGAGACGAAGAGAGTGCATAACTAGTTATTTGGTGAGAGACACGCACATTCCTGTGTGCAGCAGGCAACAAGAACAAGATCTAGAAAGGTATATCGAACAGCAGGTAGGGCCATTCCCTTTCATAAATGATACGAGTAGTGGTTCTTCAATGTAGATGTCCATTCAGTGGAAGAAGAAAAGGATCAGCTCCCAAAAATCATTACATTCGAATATTCTTCAAATATTTCCAATCAATAATACAAATATATCATAATGATGGGTCTTTGCTCTCTGTTTTTCTTGCGAATAATGTCCATTCGCTTATGAGAAATTTGTACAGCGAATAAAAGTAATTTGCCATCATTCGACGAATGTCCTATGCAAAAAGCGAGCGAGAGAGAGAGAGAGAGTGACACCGCGTACCTTACCTTTTCTGGGATTTTATCATGAGAATGCCGAACCGGACCCGAGATCCCAACAATCCCAGAGAGCGAGAACATGGCTCGCTCTTTCCTGCTAACAATAAATCAAAAGGCAGAAAAATGTAAGGGGCAGGAAAAGCCCAGAGACCAGAGACCAGAGACCATAATAAAAATCAAGGCAAGTGTCGTCCGAGACGACGTCCGTCGTTCCCTCATTCTCATTCTGCTGCAAAACCGAAAACGGCATTGGAAATGAGAATGGGAGAATGGTGGGCACTGGGCAGAAGAGGGCCCTATCCCTGGCCCTGTCCCTGTCCCTGGCCCTGGGCATCTCGCATCTCTTTTGTTATTCCTGCTTCTCATTCTCTTTAACACTGACTGTTGATGGGATTTCATTATTACTTTCGATTGTTGTGCCCCGACCCTTGGATGCTGTTGTGCGCCCATTGAGACCAGATTCCCTTCTTGGTTTTCTTGGTTTTTTCCTTTTTTATTCATCGAAAATGCAGACAAACAAAAAGGTCTCTGGGTCCAAACAAAAATAAACACACAACGAGAGGAGAGCAAGAGCAATAGCAGCAGCAGCATCATCATCATCGTTGGCAGTCGCAGTCGCAGTCCCATTCTCAATCTCAATCCTCATCGACAGCAACGTCATCTTATGGGGGAGCTCCTCCTTTGGACCACTCTAATCGCATAAGCAGATAGAACACAGAACACAGAACCAGAATCAGAATCGGGGCCCAAACCGGTGTCCCAGGGCCACACACTGTTGGGTAAAAAGGTAGAAAAATAAATAAAGCGATAAATGGAAAATAAATTTCAACAAAAATTGCTCTTCAAGTGGTTCGTTCTCCTCCACAGAACAGATTGATCTATCCTTAGTTTCTTCTCATAGCTGGCAGCATCTCCGTGATGCTGCTACCGACTTGAAACTTGTCTAGAATTACATACGTAAAAGGAAATGACCTGTACTTGGAGCCATGATGACCCATGAAATCAGGCTTTAAACTATATAGAAATATCATGCACACATGCGAGTATGTCTGATCTGTTAATTAAGCAACTTGGAATTGGTTGGAGGTTGATTTTCCCCCCCTCCCATCTAAAACATGTCTAAAACTAATCTCTAATCTACTCTCCATACGAAATATGAAATACGAAATCATTTCTTTAGATCTTTCAATTTTCTGTGGTGGGGATTTCTCATGGCCAAAGCAATCGCGTATCGATTCTCTCGCACGCCATTAATAATGATCCACTGATCCAGTTTTTCTACACCCCCCGTCCCTCCCCAGATGATCCCCTCCATCATTTTCATAATGAGGAAAACAGAAAATGCATCACAAAATTAGACATTGACACCTTTTTCTCATGCGGAAGATCCATTGAGTTTCCCCCCCCCCCACCCCCCCCCCAGATTCCGAAATTCCTATTCCGATTCGTGTTTTTTCTGCTCTTTGGAACCGTAAAAACGGCGCATAAAAATTATTTCACGCTACGGCAACACGGAATCGAGGGCCCCCAAAAAAAAAAAAAATTATGATTAATGTTGAAAACATAAATTGGATTTGATTTCTGTTTGTTTGCTGCCCTGCTGCTGCTGCCTTCTTGGGGCCTCCGTTGTGTCGTTTTTTTTTTTCGGTTTCTTCGGTTTTTGGTGTTTTTTTTTGCGCTAGGTAGCCGCTGCCGCCGCCTGTTCATTAGCACAGACTAATCATTGGAGCCACAAGAGAGTCTGTTGCTGTTGCTGCTGCTGCTGCCCCACGGCAGCGCGCGGCAAATGGAGAGTGGAGTGTGGAGACGGAGAGGGAGAGGCAGCGCTGCCCAAAGGTGGCAATCAACATGAATGAATGAATGGGCCACGGAATGGGCTCTCGATCTGTGAATGAGCCACACAGATCCAGAGACAGAGAGTCTGAATGGAGGAGAGGCTGTCGAGCTTTCGAGTTGGGTTCGAGTTTCGTTTCGTTTTTTTGGTTTTTTGGTTTTTTGTGGACGCCTTTCCTTCTTTATTTCTTTCTTTCTTGGGCGGAAGTGTAATTGCAGGCTGGGATTGGGATTGGCCCGGAATGAAGACTGGTCCTCTCCGTCTTACCAAATCCATCTGAATGGTGGCAGCGGCGGCGCCTTTGCGCAGCCTCAAATTAGCCCCGAAAGTAGGTGGGCAAGAAGAAAGAAGGGGCGGACAGCAGAAAACGGAAGCGCATTACGACGTAATGTGATCGCGCAGACATGAATGGTCTGCCACGCCCCCCTAGGTCCCAGTCGTAGCCCTGGAAAAAGCATACATGCCACGATACATTAAACAGAAAGTCTGCGTCTCTCTATTGGAATCTCTTTTTGTGTTTGACAGTATTCACAATGAAGCCCGGCTTTCTGCTTAATGTATCCTGGAGTGCATCCCCCTTCTCCCCTATTCACCTTCTCCACTTCCAGTCCTGGAAAGAGAGTAGATTTCATGATTTATTAAGCAGAGGATTATATTCCACGCTCTCGCTCACGTAAGCATTTCGTAGAAGGACTGCTTTAACTTCTGTCTAATACTCTCTCTCTCTCTATGTGCACTAAAGCACTGCTTTACCTTTTCTGTAATATGCCCTGCGTATAAATCCGAATGAGAGGTGGAAGAGCGCTGCATGTCGGTAGCACGTAGAGATCTCCCCTCTCCGCGCCTTATCGCACCGAGGACATCAGTAACAAAAACAGAAGCGAAGGAGGAGAAGGAGGAGGAGGCAAAGAGGGTAAATGTTCCCCGCATACCGTACCGTACCGTACCGTACCGTACCGTACCGTGCGTTCCTTATCAGCCAGACATCGGCGGGCAGAGTGACAACAACAAGAAAAGATGAAGGAGGAGGAATCATAAACAACGACGACAGCAATCAGAGCGCTTTTTCGTCTGCGCAAGAGACAGACAGACAGACGGACGGACAGACAGAGAGAGAAGAAGAATGACAGGACAGCAGTAGCGTTGCAGAGTGGCAAAGAGGCAGAGAGGCAGAGACAGAGTGCGAGACAGACAGGAAGTGAGCTATTTGCACTCCGAAATCCCAAAACAAGTCATAATTTTCGACAATGGGCCGCAACGCTCTGTTACGTGGAATTTCAGTTCAGTTCTGTTCTTCTCCGCTTCTTTTGTCTCTTTGATAAAGTGGCTCGCTCGTCTCCGTCGCCCCGAAAGACATTTAATAAGCGACAATTTAGCGCTGAAGTTTGACATTGACACAGGTAGAGGAGGAGCCGACAGACAGACAGACGCAATGGCTTAGGTAGGACTCTATACAAGTGTTCACAGAACTGTGAAGAAACCAGAGCGAGTGGGAGAGAGGGCGATAGAGAGAAGGGAAGGTGAAAATGGGAAATTTCATTGTTCGTGCGGATGTTCTATCTGAGAGTCTGGGGATAGGTCAAGTCTTTGAAAGCAATTCGAAACGGTTCATTCCGGATCAGCAGTCTGAATGGGATTTCCGAAATAGAAACACAGATAATCTCGGAATATTGGATCATAATGTACTCTAATCTTAGCTGGAAACTGGAATTGGGAACAAGGACTCCTCAGATTTCGTTTGAGAAAGTCTTAAAGTAATTCTCTAGAAATTTCAATTGAATAATTAAAAAGATCTAGAGATTTTTGCCGTAAAAAGTTCTTTGGCTAATCAATACTTCTTTGATCTCTCTATAAACACACACGCACACACAGACACCTGTTTGAGGCAGTTTTTAATTAGAAACCTGATGATGGGGTGGTTGCTGCGGTACCCCCACTGGGTGCCTAGGGGACGCCTGGGGGCCTGATGATGTATTAATTTCCCACAAGCACTGTGAAAATATTGAATAATCGAAGAATCGAATGCCTTGATTTCCGACTAACTAACCAACTAAGCATTCAATTCTACTTACTGAATGGTCAGCGGAGACAGAGAAGAGATGGGGGCCCAGGCACAGGCCCAGCACGTAGCTGTCAGCGATGGGGAGATCGGTAGATGTATGTATTGTTGTTGTTGTTGTTGTTGTTGGGGGGGCCGCCAGCTGT